TCTTCTAGCTATTCTCTGGAATTCTGCATTCAATTGGGTGTATCTTTCTCTTTCTCCTTTGCCTTTCGCTTCCCTTCTTTTCTCAGCTATTTGCAAAGCTTCCTCAGACAGCCATTTTGCTTTCTTGCATTTCTTTTTCTTTGGGATGGTTTTAGTTGCTACCTCTTGTAAATGTTGCGAACCTCTGTCCATAGTTATTCAGGCACTTTGTCTATCAGATCTAATTCCTTAAATCTATTTGTCACCTCTACTGTATATTCCTCAGGAATATGATTTAGTTCGTAACTGAGTGGCCTAATGCTTTCCCCTACTTTCTTCAATTTAAGCCTAAATTTTGCAACGAGAAGCTCATGATCTGAGCCACAGTCAGCTCCTGGTCTTGTTTTTACTGACTGTATAGAGCTTCTCCATCTTTGGCTGCAGAGCACATAGTCAATCTGATTTCTGTGTTGACCGTCTGGTGATGTCCATGTGTAGAGCCATCTCTTGGAAAAGAGTATTTGTTATGACCATCGTATTCTCTTGACAAAATTCTATCAGCCTGTGCCCTGCTTCATTTTGTACTCCAAGGCCAAACTTGCCTGTTATTCCGATTATCTTTTGGCTTCCTACTTTAGCATTCCAATCCCCCATGATGATAAGGACATCATTTTTTGGTGTTAATTCTATAAGGTGCTGTAGGGCTTCATAGAACCAGTCAATTTCATCCTCTTCAGCACCAGTGGTTGGGGCATAGATTTGGACTGCTGTGATATTGAATGGTTTGCCTTGGATTCGAACTGAGATCATTCTGTCATTTTGGAGATTGTATCCCAGTATTGGTTTTCCTATTCTTTTATTGACTATGAAGGCTACTCTATTTCTTCTGAGGGATTCTTGCCCACAGTAGTATGCCTGATGGTCATCTGAGTTAAATTCACCCATTCCTGTCCATTTTAGTTTGCTGATTCCTAAGATGTCGATGTTCAGTCTTGTCATCTCTTGTTTGACTACGTCTACCTTGCCTTGATTCATGGATCTTACATTCCAGGTTCCTGTGGAGAAAAGATCTTTACAGCATCGGACTTTCCTTTCACCACCAGATATATCCACAGCTGAGCGTCCTTTCGGCTTTGGCCCAGTCGCTTCATTCTTTCTGGCGCTACTAGTACTAGCCCTCTGCTCTTCCCCAATAGCATATTGGACACCTTCTGACCTGAGGGGCTAATCTTCCAGCGTCATATCTTTTTGCCTTTTGTTACTGTCCATGGGGTTTTCATGGCAAAGATACTGGAGTGGTTTGCCATTTCCTTCTCCAGTGGATCACATTTTGTCAGAACTCTCTGCTATGACCTGTCCGTCTTGGGTGGCCCTGCACGGCATAGCTCATAGCTTCATTGAGTTACGCAAGCCCCTTCGCCATGACAAGGCAGTAATCCATGAAGGAGAACACAATATTAGATGGGCACTATTAGATATATGGATTAAAATTAAAAAATCTAATTACCAAAAAATCCCCAATTGGATTTCGACACTGGAGATATTTCTGCACCCAAAATTTATGAACCTAGGAAGGGTAATTACATACAAAGACATTCTAGATGAGAACGGAGAGCTGAAAACAAGGGGACAACTATTAGAAAATGGCATAGAGCTGGAATGGTGGGCGTATCTGCAAATACAATCATGATACAGGAAAGATAAAAAAGAACCTGGGATAAAATTAGAACATACAGAATTGGATAAAATCTTGCTAGGAACTGAAGATCAAACAATAAAAAAGATATACCAGTATCTATTAGAACAAGACATGCTAGAAGAACAAGTAAAAGATACAATGCTAATTTGGAGCAAAAACTTTGGCTATAGTATTGACTTAGACCAGTGGTTCTCAACCTGTGGGTCGGGACCCCATTTGGGGTCGATCGACCATTTCATGGGGGTCGCCAAGCAAGGCTGTCCGCCATTTTTTTTCCCTTTTCCGGCGGATGCCTTACCTCCCTTGGGCTGGGCCAGCTGGTGGTCGGCCTGCTCCGTCTCTGCCGCTTGCCAGCTACGCCTCGGCCAGCGCAGGGGCAGAACCACACATGCGCGGCGCTCCCGGGCAGGGAAAGTCCTCGACTTACGAGCGGTTGGGTAGTCCTCAACTTACGACCGGTTTAGTCCTCGACTTACGACCGGTTTAGTCCTCAACTGATGACCGGTTTAGTCCTCGACTTACGACCGGTTGGGGTCACGGCATTAAAAAGGTTGAAAACCACTGACTTGGACAATTGGCAATTATTATGGGACAGGAACAGGAGACTAACGTTAGCTACCACTTATAAAGAAAATCTATATAAGATGTTTTACAGGTGGCATCTTCCTCCCACAAGATTAGCAAAAATGGATAAAAATTCTTCACCGATATGTTGGAAATGTAGAAAATCACCAGGAATTTACTATCACATGTGGTGGGAATGCCCAAAGGCTCAAGAATATTGGCATCTAATAAAAAATTGGTTGGAAGAGATATTATTATTAAAAATTGAATCAAAACCAGAAAACTTTTTATTAGGGATTATTAAGGATAAATTCAGCAAGGGACCTTTATACTTAGTTTTGCACATTCTAACTGCAGTGAGACTAGCTTACGCTCAGAAATGGAAGGGGAAAGAAACTCCCACTGAAGAAGAAGTAATAAATAAACTCCTATCTTGCACTGAAATGGATAGGTTAACATTAGAGCTCAAAAATAAAACTGAAACAGACTATTTTGAAATTTGGAATGAAGTGTATAAATGGCTAGATTCAAAGAGGCATGCTGAAACTAATGTTGATGAGTAAGTTGATAACTAAGAAATTTTTATACCAGTACTTTTTATATAAGATAGAATTAAAAGTGATCTAATTACAATGTATATTACTGTAAGAATGCTCACTTTGTTATAATGTAAAGAAACTTTTTTATTTTTTATAAGGTAATATCAATAGTATTGTTTAAACCAGGGAAGTTGTATCATATCCAATGTGTCTTTTTTTTAAACTGTATTTTGTCCAATGTGTTTTCTTTGTCTTTAACTGTATATGCAATAAAATTTAATTAAAAAAGAAAAACAACGTCCAATTGCATTTTGAAAAAAGCATCTTTGGGACAACCATGACCTGGATGACTGACAATCTTCATAAAATTCCCCAAACAAATGGAGCCTCCTTAAACCTCTTTAATCCCCACAGTCACATGATCAAAATTGCTGCCCTTTCCTTTTCTTGCTCTTCCCTTCCCAACAGACAGTAAGCAGTTGCTACTGGGTGAGAAAGGGAGTAAAGGATTGTGAGATTGGCTGGGAAACTGTCATGGAACATTGAAAATGAAGATCATGTGACTGCACCAGCAGCCAGTAGCAGTTACAGCTTTCCCAAATTTTAATACCTCGAGAATCGGGTCCCAGATTTTGGACACATTCTGTAAGTTAGCCCATTTGAGGTACCTAGCTTCAAAAACTGTTGCCCTATGGTGCATCATTTTGCCCAGTTAAAGATCATAACAACAAGAGTTTTTAGGAATGTATAGATAAACTGATGATAATGTATTAATACTTTCCTTATTATCCCATGTTTAATCGCTGCCAAAAATGTGACTGAGCAAGAATCGCATTAATATTTTTCCTGAAACACACATTTTACATGTATAAGGTTGAATCTGCTTAGCATTGTTTTTAATATGGATCAGAGCATCAAAATTACAGGACTGATTAGTTTATACTGGACTCACCTTCAGCTATATTGCAAAAATACTATTTTTTTCTGGATTATATGATTATATAAGTATCTAAAAGAAGCAGTGTTTTATTAAACATGAGGATTTTTTCAGAAAGTCTTAGGTTTAGTGGTTGGTCTTAGATAAAATAGTGACTCAAACGGACTTGAGACAGTCTTTGAATTTCTACCAAGTGAGTGTGGACTCTCACAACAGATGTGGATACACCTGTTCCACTCCGTAGTAAGGGATTCAATTGTTTTTACTCTTGATACACATCCTATCCTAAGAATGCTACGTTCGACTTTAAACCTGAGGACCCATAAGCATGTTTAAAAAAGTAGATTTGAAAATTGTTTTAGGAATCTGCATATTTCTTGTGGGTCACACATATTTCTTTGGCATCTTCTTTGCTGTTGCTGTTATAAGGGTCTCAGTAGTGTTAACAAATTTATCTCCTGCATAGAAAGCATTTTGTCAGTGTAGCAATAAACTTCATAAACCCATTCTCTGGCTAATTATTCAGAAAAAAGCACTCATTGAGTTCAGTGGTTAAATACTCCAAGGTAGGTATATATAGTTTGTTCCCCCCCCCAAAAAAAGGCAACAATGGATAATCTTTTCAAGCCTTAAATCTACTAATCAAGAAATAATTTGATAATAAATATATAGAAATGAAACTTCTAGTAAGGAAGAACAAATTGGCCTATAGCAGAAATAGATCCAAAGTAGTAATACCTACTTGACCTTGGAAAGTTCAGCAGAATGAAAGCTGGTTTTAGTATTTGGGTGGGAGAACAACAGGAAAACTTAGGGCTGTAAGGTAGTTTAGTTCGGCAAACTGAAAAAATATCCTAGAAGAAGACAGTAGTAATATTCCATATTGTTACCAAAAACAGCTATTAAATGTGATCGTGAAACAAAAAGAGCTGACCTTGATTCAAAGACTCAAGCAAGAATTGTATTTTTTATTTTTTAACCCTCTGAGACTGATATTATATACCTGCTGGGTGAAAGATTTTACCCTGGAATATTCAGACCTACTTAGCTTCTACATTGGGGCGCTCCAGTCTTTAGATATGAGAATCATTTTGAGGAAAAGAAAAGGGTAACATAACTCACAAGAGAAAGTAAAGAGGTAGAGGAAGCAATTCTCTTCAGGCATGAGGTAGTTTTGTAAACCAAACGGACTTGCCTTCGAATTTTTTTTTTCTCCTCTTGTAAAAGTGGGCTTCATTTCACAGGAGAAATGAAGAGATTGTCTTTCCCTGCTTTTTTCTAGGCCTTGCGGGTGACTGCAGAGTTCAACTGCATAACCGATTACATAGCAGAGGAATCCCAGCTTCTGCGTATGAACAGCGAAGGGGAAAAGGGCTTGCTCTATGGAGTTCCCGTCAGCATAAAGGATTCCATTAGCTGCAAGGTATCGCAGGGGTGGGCCTTGAGTGGGTATGCGGAGCTCTTGTGTGGCTAAAGGACAGGTAGGTGCACAGCTTGTATACCATTATATGATGAGGAGCATCTTGGCTTTGGATTTGAATTGCTTCGAGCAGGTAGCTATATATATTAATATGAGATCATCTTTTCATCTGCCTGTAATCTAATAGCTCAAATCACTTAATGCCAAATCCTGCTGTCTTTTACAAAATCTTTATTTTATTTATTTGTTACATTTTTATGTTGCCCATTTCCCCTCTAAGGTGACTCTGGGCAGCTTAAACCCTTTCTAACGGCGTGGAACAGGGTGATACAGTATGTGAGCCTGCAAACTGTAATGCACTAGGCGGGTTTTTTTTTAAATTCCCATTGTTGGTTTCTTGTATGGCTTTAAGATATGTGTTTAAATTTGTGAGTGGTTTTGCAATTAGACAGCTTTTAAATCAAATAAGCAAAAATCCATGTTGCATGCTGTGTGGGAAATCAGCTATATCTTAAAAATGTGCTGGAAAATTGTTTAGATCTGTGATAACCAAAATAAAATTTACCTTATGCTAAAGTGTGTTTCACAGCAGTCTTAACATTGATTGCTGTCTGCTAAAACATATGAAGTTCTCTGGTACCATCTATTACATATGGTTTCTTTAAATGTGATTTTTTAAAATTATATATATATATATATATTTAAAAAAGCATTAAAATACAAACTAATCTAAAAGGAAAGGGGGAAGGGAATAATAGGACAAGTTAAAAAATAACAAAAAAACCCAAATATATAACATGACTTCCAACTTTTTCTAACAAAGAAATTTTAATACAATCGCCTCTCTTATGAATAATACCGATACTTAAAATGCCTTATCAAATTAATACTCAACATTCAAAAAATATATTCATAATATAATCTTCACTTAATTTGAGTCTAACATACTAAACTGACAAATATAAATAAAATTAAGACTCCTCAATATTTCTCTAGTCAAATCAAATCTCGTACTCAAAATCCAAAGTCAAAACCTGATTTTTCTCCTTGCTTTGTAAGAAATCTAACAGTGGTCTCCAATTTAGAAGAAAGTTAGTCAAGTTATTTTTTTCTGATTAAAGCAGTCAACTTCACCATCCAGCTAGTTCTATTTTCTATAAAGAATTTATCCTTGGACCTTCTGCATAATAATATTCTTAATATTCCACAGGACAACGGATAAAAACATTACCAATTTATTGGTGCTTTTTAACATCTTAAACGCAGCATCACTGAATGATATCTGATGTTTCTCTGGGGAACCTGAATTTCCTTCTCCTCTTTACATCTTTTTCCTAACCACAGGGCTCTGACAGTACTTTGGGCTTTGTGAAACGTCTCTTCCAGCCGGCAGCAGAAGACGCTGTTATAGTGCAGGTGTTGAAACATCAAGGAGCAATTCCATTTGTAAAAACAAATGTTCCCCAATCTCTGTTGAGGTAAATCATGTATTTTTTATGTTTTGATTTTTCTATACAGGTAATCCTCGACTTAAGACTATTCATTCAGCGATCATTTTAAGTTACAGTGGCACTGAAGGAAGGGATTTACGACCAGGTGCTGAAGTTATAGCTCTTGCAGTACTCTTGCGGTCACATGATCAAAGTTCAGGTGTTTGGCAGCTCACCTGCATTTACAATCTCAGGAGAGTTTCAACTCTCTCACCCACCTATCTGCCTTTTGGGCCCTTGCCAGCCTCGCTGACCTTTGCCATCTTCTTCCTCCTGCTGCTCACCAGGCATGCTGTTATATGCGCTCCTGGGTTTGGCTTATGGTCACTCAACAGCTACTCTCAAATCACTTTCACAGCTGGTTCTTTGGAATACAGTGGGACCCAGTGAAATTAAAATAAGAGCAGAACCTTTTTAGTAACAACATATATTTGCCCTTTCTCTCTCATACACATGCATTCCTCCACAGCTACCGGTACCCCTACCCCTACCCTTGTCCTTCTCAACTAGGCTGCCAGGCACTAGTTAGAGGGATGGAAGTCACCAAGTCTTAGGTCCAAAGACAAAGAGTAAGTGGGCTTCAGGGCCCCTTTTGTCCCCAAAACTCCTTGCTTTGTTGATTCATAAAAGTGACAGCTACTTTTGCCTTGTTGATTTACAAGTCTGGTACCTGCTGATGGCACTTGTGGGGGGGAAGAGGGAATGGAGGGAGCATTTCCACGTGGTGAGGCGCAACTTGTTTTGTCTGGTTCAGGTGACATTCTTTTATTACCTTAGCAATTTCGTCTCTTCTTGTCTATCTCCCAAAGAGATCTTTTAGACAAAATTCCTGGCTTTTTGTCCACCCTGCTTCAGCTTTAGGTATGTCAGCTTCAGCCTCATCTCACATCGAGTTTAAACAACAGATGCCACAAAATGGGGTTGGGATGAATTCTCTAGCCTGTAAATTCTCCCATCTGTTTTCAAAATTGGCCAGAGGGGACTATTAAAACTGCTTAAGTTGCTAGTAATCTTTGTGATCACCATTTCAGCAGCCTTTAGAAATGGGTATTGTTTCTGTAGGCTTACAGGGGGCCTGTACACTAACATGTGTTCCACATTGGTTGCGATGGTCTTGGAACCAAAGCCTGCCAGTCTGTGAGGTAGATAGGGCTACAACGGAGATTTGTTTACCTAAAGAAAAACATGTAATAAGAGAAATTTCAGCTCCGGTATCCATCAGTTTGCTTAGGATCATTGTGGGTTAAAACAAAAGGGTAATTCCTCTCACTTTGAGGAGGAATTTCAATATTCCTCTTCTACCCCATATTGTCAGTCAAGACCCATATATTTACCGTAGCAGAGGGACAGCTCTAGAAATTGACTAAAGGGGTGAGATTATAGTTTCTTTTTTCTCCTTTACCTCTGGGATTGAAACTTTCTTTAAAGGTTCTGTTAATTGTTTCAGTTGATGCTGGATCAATGAAAAAAGTGGCTCTTTCTGCCCCTGGTTGCTTCAGAAATTCCCATTTCTGTGGTCTTCCCCTCTCCTTTCCCACCTTTTTTTAACTCCTTCTTCCCCCACATTCTTTACTTTTATCCTCAACACTCCCAACAGCTTTTCTTGCTTCTCACAAATCTGTTTCCAGAGGGGCTATGTCTAATGGGTAAAGTCATCCAATTGCTTAATCTAAGTTTGTTCAAGGCAGTGCAAGCCCCCCCCCCCAGCACACCTTTTAAAGACTGATTGCCTGTTTACATTGGTTGCACTGAAATGGAGGCCATTGGTGATAATAAAACATGGACAAAGCAAAGAGCATTACTGGCTCTGCACAAATTTGTTTGTCATCATCTGACACTAGACTGTACTGTATGATACTGAAGTGGATGATTTAACTTGAGCAAAGTACTAGTATTTTTCCCCCTGTATAACAATACCTCTTATCTCTTTTTCTTCCACCACACCCTTGGGCAGCACTGTGTAAGTGATAATTGTTAAAGTTTAAGGAAGCATATTTTTTTAAGAAGTAGAAGAGTTGAACTTGACCAAGTCTTTACAATGCTGCTTGGGACTTAATAATTGATTATGAGAATCAGCATTTCCTCTTCAGAATTCAAGAAATGTGGTTATTTTCTTTGAGAGAGAGATTTTCTTAGGCCTTTATACATTGTGGTGACTACTTGAAAAAAAAAGAAATCCTTATTAAGAGACAAAGTGTAAATATCATTGTTTCACATTAAGATTAAACCAGGGATATTGTATAATTTTGTAAAAAGGCTAATTGAATCATATTCCCTGCCTGGAAGAACTATTAGGAAAATGTTTGAAAGTATTCCAAAACCAATTGCTGACAATATTTTTTGTCTTTTCAGTTATGAGTGCAGTAATCCGATCTTTGGACCAACAGTGCATCCTTTGGATCACACTAAAAGCCCTGGTGGATCATCAGGAGGGGAAGGATCTCTTATTAAAAGTGGAGGATCCATTCTGGGCATTGGCACAGATATAGGAGGCAGCATTCGTGTCCCAAGTGCCTTTTGCGGAATTTGTGGTTTAAAAACCACTAGCAGCAGAATTAGGTTGTATACAAACAGAGTTTAAAATATGTGGATTATTCATCTCAGATTCCTGATCTATTGTAACTGTATATCAGAGTTGCCAAGAATGGGGGAACTAATAATTCAAATAGTGAAAATTAATAAGTCAGATCATTGATTAGACAAAATCTTGTTTCATTCAACCTTTGTTGAATTGTTTTTATATCTGTAACCTTATGTCCACTTCAAGTGAATTCTATTTAACATCTGAATAGGCTGTCCTGTTTTACCCTACTGTACCCTAATCACAATGTTATGAACTTCCAATGTTTATCAATTATGTTTTAATTAATGGGGTGATATATAAGTCTTAAGTGCTATTGCTAGTCTAATAGGCTTGGCTGGAATCTTGGCTATTTTAGTTCGTATGAGCTAACCCTGTTCAACAAAGTGAACTGGAAATATTCTCAACATGTCATATGTGTTAAGTGCTGAAATAAGTTCAAAGAGGAATTGATGTTGAAAATTGTGAAGCTTGACAGCTTTGCTAAAACTACTCTTTTGATGTCTCTAGCAAAAAAGGAATTACTCCGAGTATGCCTGGTCAGAGAGTAGGTAAGATACTATTATTTGATTAGATAAATGGGAAGTTTGTTTCACGTGAATAAATTATTCTTTGACATTCTTGTTCTGAGAAAAAACAGTTTCATCAATTTCTACAAAGTAAATTTTGAAAATGTTGGCAGCTTTTCAAAAAAGTATGAACTCAGCTTAGTAACCTAATGCTAGTAACAACCATGCCCTGTTACCTGAATGTTCTAGTATCACTTTCTTCTTTAAAAGAGAAGGTTTCTGAAATTGGCAGTTGGATATTGAAACAACTTGCCAGGAAAGGGTTTGAGCATGTTGCTTAGTTGTTTCCTAGGGTTTTTTTCCAATTTATTTAATTGATTTATATGATAGCTGTCCAACTTGCAAATTGTAACTTGGGGTGACTAACAAAGGATTACAAGTAGTCCTTAGCTTGGGACCATAACTGAGCCCAGAATTTTGATCGTAAGTCGTTCCAGTCACAAGTCAAGTCCACTACATGATAAGATTTGATTGTATGACAGTCAATAAGTGGGTCCCTGTGATTGTTGTGGTTGACAATTCACTTAACAACCGCCTTGCTTAGCAATGGAAATTTTGGGCTCAATTGAGAACTACTTGTATCATCAGTGTGTTGATGTTATTTAATTCTCTGGCGGTAGATGGCCTCATCCAGAAGAGTTCACAAAGTCAGGATCTATGGCTAGATCAGGGGTAGGGAACCTTGGCTCTTTGATGACTCATGCACTTCAACTCCCAGAATTCCTGAGTCAGCATGGCTGGTTCAGGAATTCTGGGTATTGAAGTCCACAAGTCATCAAAGAGCCAAGGGTTCTCTATCCCTGGGCTAGATCTATGGAGATATCAAGGACTCCCAATCTGCTCCAGAGATAATCTAAAAGTGTGATCAATAACATCTCAGTATTGCAGACTGGTTTAATGGTTCTTCATTCATTTCAGAAGCAACTACAAATTGGAGACACATAGCTTTCGACACTCAGCAAATAAAATAGGTGTAAAATAGGTCATAGAAATATAACACATGTAAAACGTATATAGAATAAATAGGATTAAAACTGAATGACATTCGTTTAGTATCAGGCCGTGTTGACAGCATTTTCTCTCGCCAGCCTGAGGTCTTCCTGTTGAAAGACATCAAATGTACCATAGCATTTGAGACGGATTATTCTTCTGTAGTGGTACGTGGAATTGACCCTGGGAGACGGGAGAAAAAGCTGCACGCTAGGCAGTGGTTTAATAAACGATAACAGTCTGAACAGGTGAAGGTGGAGAAAGAGTCTTAGAAGAATCCCTTCTTAGTTTTTCAGCAGAGTAGAAGTAAAGGAGGGAAAAGATACTTTCAGACGTGTGGGTTTCTGTTACTGAATCGTAGTACTCTTGTTTGGCGCTTCTTGTCTCAGCTACCTCAAAAGGGCTGGCATCTGTCTGAAACTTGAGTGAAAAGAGTATTGTTAAGCCCTTTTCATCCAGGGCTCTCTGGAGCTGCAAACCACCTTCTCGACAAGATTCCCCTAAAAAAAGAGAAGGTTGAAAATAGAGTAAAAAAAAATGTCTTTACATTTACAGTATTCTTTAATCGTTTTCTGATCTCCCATTGTATTAAAAAAAAGTTGCTCTTCTTATAGTGTTAATGAAAATGGGGAAGAGAGGTCATTCATTCTGAAAAGTAGGGAATGAGTTGGTTCTTTAGGAGTTAATCACTTTTTGTGAGCTTCAGTGGTTGAAACGTTCCTCTCAGATTTTCCCGAGTCCTAAAAAAAGGCTATTCTTGAATGCTTCCTGTTTCCTTGTTTCTTTCTTCCAGTTTCTGCGGGCTTGGGACCAATGGCGCGGGATGTTGACAGCCTTGCCCTTTGCCTGAAAGCTCTCCTGTGCAAGAAAATGTTCCATCTGGATCCCACAGTGCCACCTCTTCCTTTCAATGACCAAGTAAGATCAGTGATCCTACTAACCATGCACAGATCTTCGAATCAGGAGAAGAACAGCTTCCTTGAAGAAAATCATGGACGTGCTTGCCACAACCATTACCACTCCCTTAAAGATGCTGTGGCTTTTTTGCCTGGGCTCCTGTGCTAGTTGCATCACCCCAGAAAAAAACCCCCACATATGAATTAAATAGCTGGCCAGAGAGTTCCCTGAGCAGCATTATGAGAAAAGGGTATAATCAAGAAAATATCTCTACCTTCCCTTTGGGAATCTATTAACAACATGGATTGTTTCTACATATAATAAGCAGATCTCCAGGAAATGAACATTATGTCATTTTACCTGTGACAGATAGTAGAAATACATCAACACTGAGGAATGAACGCCGCTCTCCCTTTTGCATTTCACTGAGAGAAGTGATTATTTTAAAATAAATAAGCATTAGTAACACTTGGGAAAGAAACCAAGTAATATGATACATCAAGTAGGCTACACTTACAGGCTAAGTGTACAGGTAGTCCTGGACTTACAATCTGTTGCTTGGAGACCACTCAAAGTTACAACGGACCCCCCAAATAGTACTTATGGCTAGTGACAGCCTCTCTCCCCCTCCCGTGGTCACGTGTTTTCATTTTGGGTTCTTGGCCCATATTGATGGCCCTTTTGAGTGTCCTGCAGTCACAGGACTACAATTTACAATATTTTTTTGCTGGAAGTCGACATTCTTTCCAGTTTCCAACAAATTGCAGAAAATGGATTCTCTTAACAACCACCATGTTTGCTTTACAACCATCGCAAAAGAAAAATTATAAAATTGGCGTAATCACGATGACCCACTTTGCGACCAGCATAATTTAAGACCATAATTGCAAGCTCAATTATGATCATAAGTCGAGGATTACCTGTATCTCAAAGTTCAGTTCAGTCTGTCCCTTTTGTTTCTCAGCTTCAGAGAAATAATAGTGAACCAAATCATTCTCTCGGCTGTGACAATGCATTGTATATTTGCCCACAGGGAAAAGGATATTTAAAGGACCATCTTGTTTTTTCCCTTTGAATCTGGGTTAGCGTGCTCAGGCACTGACATCCTGGGAAAACATTTCACGATTTGGTCCTGTGCTTCAGAACTGTTGGCTAAAGCAGGGCTTTTCAACCTTTTCACCCATTGTACCACTTTTAGGATATGGCAACATCCGAGTACCACCAGTTGCCTAGCAAGGTGTCAAAAACTTAATGACCAAAAAAAAGGAAAAAAGTAATAAAGTACAGGTAGTCCTCAACTTACAACAGTTCGCTTAGTGACTGTTCGAAGTTACAATGGCACTGAAAAAAGTGCCCCCCAAGCCACAGCCGAGCAAGACATCTGCCTGCCCGCCCGGCGGCGCTTTTACTCCTGTCCGAGGTTTTCATTGTTGTGAGCATTTCTGTTGAGGATTGGCAGCGGGGGTGGCGTGGGGGGTGTTTGGTTTTTATTCCCCCCGTCTGCTGGGGGGAATAAAAAAGTGACCCTGGGACACTGTGACCGTCATAAATATAAATCAGTTGCCAAGCATCTGAATGTAAATCACAAGATCCTGGAGATGCTGCAAAATTCCAGCTGATTGGTGCTTCTTCTGGGCTGAGCAGAAGCACCAGGATCAGTGCCGAGCTCCAACTGGAGCCTGGCACTGATCCTGGTGCTTCCACTGAGCTCTGACAGCCCCGAAGAAGCGCCGATCAGCTGGAAAGCGGCACTGATCCTGGCGCTTCCGCTGAGCCCTGACAGCCCTGCAGCTCCAGCTGTCTCTCGGTCAGGCTTGTGCGGTGCTGCCACCGGTTCAGCTCATTCCCCTCCCCCACTACCACGTTTCTAGGATGGTCGCGTACCACCTACCAGGTGCCAATGTACCACAGGTGGTACCCGTACCACTGGTTGAAAAGCCCTGGACTAAAGAACTTTTTGGCTTAAGTATCCTTGTCTGTTAGCCTCTGGAGTTAAGCCAGTGGGTTGATATTTACACCAGCAGATAAAGAACTTGAATGATTGAGAAATGGATGGTTCTGTAACTAATGCTGATTTATCCAGTGTGGTGTCCTGCTTTTAAGGCATCTACTATGATTAATTGTTTTGAAAACATCTCTTGTTCTTCTGTTGCTCTAGGTTTATACCAGCTCACGTCCCCTCAGAATAGGGTATCATGTGACTAATTTTTATAGTATGCCAAGCCCTTCCGTGAGACGGGCTGTGCTGGAAACCAAGGAGCTTCTGGAAAGAAATGGCCATGTGGTATGTATACTTAGTAGCGGAGAGGGAAGTATGTGTCCTACCAAGGGGGTGTCTGTTTCAGAAGGCAACATCAGGAGGAGTAAGAGATTTTTGTTGAGGGTGCAACAGCAGAGAAGGAGACAGCAAAACTTCACATAAGTGTTATCTGGGTTTTCCCTCCTTCCCTACTAACTCCACTGCACAACCTGTTATCAATAAAGGTTGGAGTTTCATACAAAAAGTAACCTGGCTTATTTTGCTTTTGAGTATTTAAATGCTGTATTCACTTTGCTTCATCTCTGTAGTTTCCTTATTAATTATTATGCTAGTTTTGGTGTCCACCATTATAGAGTTTTTAAAAAATTGATCGGATTTGCTTAACGCAGGAGAGTCTTTATATATGGGATGACCCTCAGATGGTTTCCAATTGGTAGTTGACACAGGACATCCATTTCTATTGATGTAGAAATTTCTATTAGTAGAGTTGTGCAAGCCTTTCTCCAAGTATAAGATTGAATCACATGAAAATGAATACATTATCATTTTGTTAATTTAGAGCAATGTTTTTGAACTTGGCAACTTTAAGATACATAGAGTTCAACTCCCATTGTCAGCATGCTGGGGAATTCTACACATCTTAAAATAGCCAAGTTTGAAAAAACATTTATTTAGAGAACTGGGGTTTTTTCTCAGTCATATTTCTGGTTATAGTATATCCTCCAATTAAAAAAAATCACTTCATTATAAATGTTCTTTCATTTCTTTTAGTTGGTCCCCTTTGAGCCATATCAGGTGGCCCATTTTATGAGCAACTTCGGTGCGTCATTCTTTAGGGATGGTGGTGCCACTTTCCTACAGTCTTTGTAAGTATTGTATTTTCTATAGTCTGAAGTATACATGTGAGGAAATAAGAGGCTATTTTGTGAATGTGATTTCCCCTTCCCTTTCTCTTCTCTTCTCTTCTCTTCTCTTCTCTTCTCTTGTATTTCCAATTATTCTCAATAGGTAGGGAGACAGAGCTTTAAATTTTTGTGATGCTGAAAGCTGCTATGAATGAAACATTTGGGACTAGTGAACTTCAGCTGTATGAATCTTTTTTCCCCTTGCTTCAAACAACAACATACCTAACTTTGCTGGAAGCTTTTATTATAGATCTAAAATACTACAGGTAGTCCTCACTTAGTGACCACAATTATAACTGGCAATTCCATCATTAGGTGCCATCATTGCTAAATGGAAAATCACATAACCATGATGAGCTTATGATGTCTCTTTGCATTTGTCACATGGGAATCACTGCAATCATTGATTTGTAATTTTATTCCTGCTTTATCTATTAATTTGGCTTGTTGGAAGCCAGTTGCATAACAGTGAATGATGATCACAAGACTGTGTGTCTCTGCAGTGATCGTAACTGCAAAGAGTGGTTGAAAAGTTTCCCCCCCCCCACCATTGTAACTTCAAACAGCCACTAGACAAGGCAGTTGGCAAATGGTGACTGCCTGTATGTGTGTATGTGAAGGGATGTAATAGCGTATAAAACAGCCTTCTGCAGTAATACACACAGGACAATATTCCACAATGTTTAAATGGAGAAAATTCAGCTTCAGATCTCCATTTAATCATAAACCTCATCTTTGAGTATATAGTGTTTTTAGTCCCACTATTCCAGGTTAAAATTAAAAGCTGGGAACAAGATACAGAAATATCATACAAGAATTCAAAGTGATGTAATCAGTGCAACACATCAATATAGGTGAGAGACTTAAATTGTGCAATGAAATCTCAAATGGAACATTGCTGCCAGTGTAAGAGAAAAGTATACACAAATCTGAATGAATGCCAGAGAACAACAAGGAAATCACGAGAGAGAGGAGTGCAGTAGGTGAAAGTCTTGGGCAACATTTTATTTATTTATTAGATACGTACAGGTAGTCCTCAACTTACAACCAGTCGTTTAGTGACTGTTTGAAGTTACAACGGCACTGAGAAAAGTGTCTAATGACCATTTTTCACACTTAACGACTGTTGCAACATCCTTGTTAGTCATGTGATCAAACTTTGGAGGCTTGACAACTGGCATGTCTTTATAATTGTTGCAGTGTCCTGGGGTCATGCGATCACCTTTTGTGACCTGACAAACAAAGTCAGTGGGGAAGCCAGATTCACTGAACAACCATATTACTAACTTAACAACTGCCGTGATTCAGCTAACTGTAGCAAGAAAGATAGTAAAACAGCGCAAAATTCACTTAACTGTCTTGCTTAGCAGTGTAAATTTTGGGCCCACTTGTGGTCATAAGTCAAGGATTACCTGTATACCACTTCTCTTCCAAGTGTCCAAAGTGACATATACAGTGTTCCTCTCCTGTTCTGCTGCCCAGCAACAGTCCTGTGAGGTAAGTTGGGCTGAGCGAGAGTGATTGGCCCCTATTTGACCCAGTGAGCTTCTGTTCCTCAAAGTGGATTAGAATCTGGGTCTTTTCCCAGGCCAGTTTGGCATCTTAAATATTACATCACATTTACTCTCATTTTAAAAAGGACCTTCCTTAGTAAAGAAATGAGGAAGACATACTTACAGGGACAATATACTCACCTTTTTAAAAAGTACATTACATAGATCAGGTTGCATCATATGGATGCCCACCCCAGCTCCAACAATGCCAAAAAAAGTTGCGATACATGACGCGGCAAGTTTGACACCTGTGATATAGATGATAGATTTTTTTTTAAAAGCAAAACATGAATTTGAGAAGTAAAGTCATATTTATTTATTTATTTATTTATTTTATTTAATTTATATGCCGCCCTTCTCCCGACAGGGACTCAGGGCGGCGCACAACATATTTAAAACCAGAACATATATACAATCCCCCCCTTAAAACCAAATTAAACCGAATTTTAATGTTGCGTCTTCCGAATATTTAAAACCCAATGTAAAATCCACCCTAGGTCAGGTCCGC